TCCCAGGAACATCCAGAGAGAACCTGGATCAAGAAGGGCTGCTTGGGCCCATATCCTTTGGGGTGGGGGCAGTCCCCAGGAATGGTGCTAGGGGCACTTTGGTTTTTTTTTTTTTTTTTTTTTTTTTTTGTAGCCATCAGGGAGGGGATTTCCCTTCCTAAGGACAAAACTAATTGTTTGGTCTTTGTTTCAAAATTGGTTTGTGTGTGTGTGTGTGTGTGTGTGTGTGTGTGGTGAAGATTCTGGCCGTGTCCTAAGTCTTGGATTTTGGGGAGGAGGAAATCAAGTGGTTGCAACTGGATTCTACTGTCTCACATGGCCCTGTCCACATCACTAGTAGAACCTGGTCTCTTTGTTACTTGTCTTATACAAAGAACTGCTCTATGGGGTGGATTTGTGCTGTTCCAGAACCTCAGGCAGTTTCCTCTTTGCTTCCTGCAGAACACATGAAACTCATGTGGTCTTGCTGTGTGTTAAAAACAGCCTTCCTCATATGCCTGCTTCATATCTTGTGTGTTTTTCTCTGGTCCGGAAAGTGGTGACTAATCATCATTTACCCTGCATTTTGTCCCTCCCCTGGCAGTGTGTTACTTCCTCCCTAAGTGGACTCAGTTAATGCCTTAGTCTGCCCAGGTTAGAGTTCCTGCTGTAGGCACATTGTGTTGCTCTGATGTAGATGTCAGAAAATGACTATCGTTGTGGATAGTGGTTCCCATCATCAGGTCTACACGTAACCTGTTGTACTGAGAGGATTGCCCAGTTGCAGTGTCTGGTATGTGCACATGTTACCAGGACTCAGTGGGATTTTCTTACTTGTATTGCTTCTGTTAGTGCTGCCTTGTTCTTAGAATATAACCCAGATTTCAGTTATGCTCATGGATGGGACTGTTTGAGAAACCTGCCCACTTGAGGACTTGCTGTTAGTAGTTAATTCAGCACATACTTTTAAAAATCCTTAATCTATGGTAGATGCTGAAGTCCAGAAATGAGTAGAATTGTTCCTGCCTGAAGTTTAGGATCTGGTGACAAGAAACAGAACAGTTTTGAAATCTCATCATTTTAGGTGAGATGTGGCAAAAGAGCATAGAAAGTGCTTTATAGCTTCCTGAAGTAGCTGGGGAGGGGGCACTATGTAGAGGAGGAAGGAGGTGGCTAGTGGGAGCTTTCCATGCCACAGACTGCTAGAGTCCAGAGCCACCGCTGACCTTGCTGGGCCAGAGCTCCTTGCTCCCTATAGTGGCCCCAGTTGGGCTGCATGTTGAAAGGTTGGGGAAGGCAGAGATAATGGGAGGGCCTTTGTATCTGCTTAGTGTGGGGAATTTGGGCTCAGTCTGTGCTTAGAAAGCATGTGACTTGGAGGCAGGCCACCTTCTTTAGGCCAACTTCCAAAGATCACCCTACAGCCTTGTCTTAGAAACACGTGCTTTGTGCAACCTCTACTTACTGGGGCACTGGCAGAAGGCAGGGAGGCCTGGAGCGTGGCCTCTGGTTTTATGGCATTGGTAGCACCAGGTAGAAGGGCTCAAGGACCAGGTGGCCTTGGCCCTTTGCAGAAGTTGGTTCTAGAGTATAGTTTTAGTTAGGATTACTATCGCTGTGATAAAACACCATGACCAAAAAGCAAGTTGGGGAGGAAAGGGTTTATTTGGCTTATACTTCTTTATTATTGTTCATCATCAAAGGAAGTCAGGACAGAACTCAAACAAGGCAGGAACCTGGAGGCAGGAGCTGATGCAGGGATTTTGTTTCTGGCTTGCTCTCCCTGGCTTGCTTAGCCTGTTTTGTTTAGAACCCAGGACCAACAGCCCTGGGATTGAACCACCCACAGTGGGCTGGGCCCTCCCCTATCAATCACTAATTAAGAAAATGCCCTACAATTAGATCCTATGGAGGCATTTTTTCTCAATTAAGAGTCCCTCCTTTCAGATAGCTCCAGTTTGTGTGTCAAGTTGACATAAGAATAACCAGCACAAATATGCTGTAAGCCGGAACACTCTTTCCTTTTTAGGCTTATTTCCTCAAAGACAGACACCCTGTTCCTGAGACTTAATGAATCACCAGAGGCCTCAGAGTTCATCTGGCTTTTTCCTGAAAGAGGCCCCAGAGACAGGGAACATCTTGGCTCTGGGCTTGCAGCCCTACTTTCTTCCCACTTCTTGACCTGGTTTGGAGGAGGGTCCTTGGAATTAATTCTATGAATGAGGTGCCATTGTCTGATTAAGAGAATTTCTCACCCCATCGACAGTTCTAGCTTGGTGCCTTGTGTTTGCCCAGGCACTGACTGCTGCACACTCTCAGAACAGAGTCTCAGTTGAAGCGCATCTCCTGCAGACACTCCCAGACACAGCTAGAAAACAAGGAAATGTGGCTGTGGAGCCCTGTGCGATCTGGTGTCTGGCTTCACCACACCTCCTTGTTTCTTTTGCCTTCAGACCAACCTGTAGTATAGTATTGTTGATGTTCACTGCTGGGGAGACAGGAAGTTGAGGCTCAGAAAGGTTAAGCACCTCTCCTGAGGTCACCCAGCTGGTAAGTGGCAGAGCCAGAATTTCAACTAGGCCTGTAAAGATTTCCTTTTCCCACTGAGGCCTTGTGCCAGTTTGATCTGCTGAAGTCTGATGGTGTTTTGATATATAGTAACCTTTGCCTTTGTCAAAGATTAGCTTTTAACTATGTGATAAAATGTTTCTTCTTTTATTCTTGCTTTAATTTAAAAAGAGTACAACTTTCAACTTGTGTTTATTTGAATCTACTTGTATTTTTTTTTTTTTTTGTGATTCTTGTTTCTTAATGTAACAATTGGTTAGGTTTTCCCACAGCAGGGAACACAGATGGTATATGATGTCCTTTAGGGACACATGGCTGCTGGCCTCAAGGTGGACATCAGGGTGAGCCATTTAAATTAAAATGTGCTCAACTCTCTGGTAATAAATTGAATTTTTGTCTGTAGGTTTAAAAACTTTCCAGCTCTTATATACTTTGTTTCTGTAACAAACTAAATTTGTGCCTGTGTTTTTCTGGTGTTGTGGTATACTATGGTTCTAACTTGTAAGAAAAATAGGTTATTAGTCAGAACAACTCTGGAGTTAAGTGAACCTTACTTGCAGGATCATAGTTTTCTGTGGCTCTGGCTATTTCTGAATTCTGCCTTTCCATTCACTCCCTCCTGTTTCCATTTTTACTCTTTGCTGTACTGCCTGACTGGCTCCTTCAGTTTCTGGAAGGAGGAGATTACTTCCCTTCCCCCTTTCTGCTTTTAATCAGTTTGCTTCTGCTGCACTTAAGGAGATTGGCTTCCTGAGGGCTGCAGGAGGCTTCTTGTAGAAGCTAGACTGACATCTTAGCAAGTGAACTTCTGTGTCTGCTGTGCCTTGGAGTCTTCAGCCACTTCTTGTTTGATAGAAGCAGCTGCTCCTCCTGGGCCAGTTGCCCATTCGTTGCTTTCCTTGGTACTTACTTAATTTCCCCAAGCTTGTGTGTAATGGAGCTGGGGTTACAGTCTGGAGTCTGGAGTTCTGGTTCTTAGATTCTACTCTGTGGTCAGATTAGGGTGTACCATCCAATCTCTAGTTTTGATATTTTAAAAGAAAACAAGAGGTAACTTTTCATAGGTGAGGGTGACAGTGTGCTAGGGGCGGTATTCTTCCGACTAGAATTTTCTCCTGGCTTGTGCCTGCCTCTTTGGCCAGAGAATTGTGGACATGGCCTTTGAGGTGTGTGACCATTGCTTTAGACTCTTCTCTCAAGCCTTGGCTTTTGCTCTTCTATTATTAACATCTTCACTGAACTAACCTCCTGCCCTGGATTTAAGGAGCCTGTTCCAAGCCATTTAAAACTAGGTATGGCCTTCCCTCTGACTCTATATCCTACCTCTCTAGCTAAGACTGATCTTGGACTATTCTGAGTGCTCGGCTTCTGTTGTGAAGGAAAGTGTGCCCTGTCGTGGACTTGAGTGAACCTGGTAGTGCTGTGGAAAGGTATGGCCAGTTGGAGTATGCTTGGGCAGTCTTACTGCAGGTGGCATGTTTGTAAGTGTATAGTTCACTTTGCTATTTTTCTGTCTTAATGTAGTTAGCTTGGTTTTTATGCTGTTTCACAATGACTAGGATTGAACCATTGCTTTGCTCCTTCTAGCCAAGTAGCACTACTGAGCAATATTCTCAGCCCCCAGTTCACATCTTCAGGTCAGAGGTATCCTATTGATAGTTTGCCCCCTGTGTTATCTTTGTTCCCCTGTTTACAGAAGGCCTGAGACAAGCAACTTGTAAGAATGAAAGGCTTGTTTCAGTGAGGTCTTCCTTCAGTCCATGGTATTTTGGCTTTGTTGCTTTGGCCCAGAGAAGCGCAGAATGTCATGATAGGAGCAGGTTACAGAAGAATCCTGATTGGCTCATGGCACCCAGGAAACAAGATAATCTAACTTCATCCAGCCTCCTAAAGGCTCCACCTCTAGTTGCACAGCAGCCTTGGGACCAAACCTTTCCAACATGTGGTTATACAAAATCCAGAATGTAGCCTATTTCCACAAGAAAATATTTTTCCTGCCTGGCACAGATTTTACCTCCATTTCTGGCCTGGATGCCAGACCTGTGACTGGGGTGGAGGAGCCGATGATAAAACTGACAGTTTTCTCTAGGTGAGCTCTGTGTGGGTTATTGTTCTGCTACTTCATGTCATGAGAATGTGTTCCAGCTTTTGCTCTGGGCCTCAATTAGTGCATAGGACTAGTTGAATGTGAGTGCATAGGTCGTCTTTTTTTTAAATTCTTTTTGACATGGGATATCATGCAGGCTGGTCTCAAATTCACAAGCTTCTTGCCTCAGTCTCCCAGTGCTGGTTTTACTAGTGTGTGCCCCCATGCCCAACTTGTAAGACTCTTTCAAAGGCACCCTTTTAAGCAGGACCATCTGGCCTTTAGAGCTCTGTGTTCAAAGATGCCTGAGGATTGGCATCCTTTGGATATATATACACATTTTTAATTCCCATGTCTATTTCTCTAGTTTCTTCTTGGACCAAGATGACTGATGGAAACCTTTCCACCTCTATGAATGGTGTAGCATTGATGGGCATTCTAGATGGTCGGCCAGGAGACTCCCTTCAGGACCTGCAACACCTTAGTATCAAGGCGGCACCCAGATCCCTTTCAGTGCCTGACTATGGACCTACACTAAAACTTGGTGCTTTGGAAGATCGACACAGCCTTCAGTCAGTGGACTCGGGCATTCCTACCCTGGAGATTGGCAACCCAGAGCCTGTTCCCTGCAGTGTGGTCCATGTGAAGAGAAAGCAGTCTGAGTCCGAGATCATCCCAGAGCGGGCCTTCCAGAGCGCGTGTCCCTTACCATCCTGTACACCCTCAGCTCCCTCCTGCAGCGAGAGGGAGCAGGTCGTGCGGAAGTCTTCCACATTTCCCAGGACAGGCTACGACTCAGTGAAACTCTACAGCCCCACCTCCAAAGCCTTGAGCCGAAGTGACAATGTCTCTGTCTGCAGTGTGTCTAGTCTTGGCACAGAGCTGTCAACTACGTTGTCGGTCAGCAATGAGGACATCCTGGACCTCATGGTCACGAGCAATTCCAGCGCCATTGTGACCCTGGAGAACGATGATGACCCACAGTTTACTGACGTCACCCTGAGTTCTATCAAGGAAACGAGCGACTTACACCAGCAGGATTGTGTTGCTGAGACTGAGGAGGGGAGGAAATTGAAACTATTGCAACCATTCAGTCACTTCTTTACAAGGTAACACCTTTGCTATTTGGAGCAGCTACAGGGCAGCAGATGTAGACCTGTTGCCTTGTGCCTGTCTAGCTGTATGTGTCTTCCATGCATTGTTTCATTGTTATTAATAAGAGCTGTGTTCTACAGACAACTGTGCCTTTTTCCCCGGTGCCTTAGTACTATGGAGTCGTGTGTGGCCAGGTCTGCTGCTGACTCAGCTGTTTGGCTTCTCACTGCTATCTCCCCTTTTGTGTCCTTGGCTCACATGAATAGTCTTTGTTGCTTCTTGACCTCCTGCCTTTTGAGGGTGAGGTTACTCACAGGCCCTTAGTGCCCTTACTTTGCCATTCACTAGTTACACTAATTCACTAAGAAACTAATGGTTTCTTATGTCAGGCAAAAGGGTGCTGTTGAAATTGGCACCGGTATTAGCAACTCTGTTTCTAACACTGTTCTTAGTGGCAGACCCTGGGGCTGGCATCTCCAGATGCACCAGTCATGCCGCCAGTGTACCTATATGGGTCTTTCATGTATTCTGGTCTGGCCCTACGGTTGAGGATATGTGCCTTGGTTGCCCTGCAGTCACACAGTGCTTACTGTGTTGATCCTGCCATGTGCACCCTTCCTGTGAGGCTTTGTCACCCAGGTCTCCAACAAGCCTTCTGGGCTTCTTGTGTGTCCCTAGAGCACTGTGAGGAGTGCTGCTTCCATTTATTCCTCTTATTTGTGTTTTTATGCATTTGTTCAGCAAGAGTCTGTGTAAGGCTCTGTTCTAGGCAGGTCATATGGGAGTCATAGGCTGATAGACATGATCTCAAGTCACGATGGAGGGGGAGCTTAGAATCTGGGGTTGGTATACCCCCACCAGTCAGTCACAGAAACTGAGGTCCTCTACAGAAGGATGTGGGTTTATGGATTATATATTTAGAGTTGTAATCTGCCCCATATTTGTTCTTTGGAGGCTTCTGGGCTATGAACTTGGCAAGTAGGAACAAATGGCACATGTTTCTAGCAAGTCAGTGTTGGACTTTGCAATACTTGGTGTGATATGCTGTCTAGAGTTAACTAGAGACATCTGGGTCTGGGAACATGTAACTTAGGGTTCCCCAGTTGCTTCTTCAGGCAAATGTGGAGTATCCCCAGTCAGCCTAAGGCCAGTCCTGAGTGAGATGGTCTTCACATGGCATGCAGTCTTCTGGGATACCTTTGTTCTTGATGTGCCCGCTGGAGGTACCCTGCACCTCCAGTGGAATCCTGGTCACAGAACTTGTTATTCAGTGGTTGCTGGCTGGAGCCCTAGTGTGCTTCTCCCATGCAGCAGTGCTGGGGTCTCATCTGTGTAGCTGGCTGGATCCAGTCACTTGGATGAGTCTTTGCAGTTTGCCATGCTGATGAGTACCAGAGTGCCTTATGTGTGACTCCTCAGATCAATCTCAGAAGGGAAGGGCTTGCCTAGGAGACAGGTTTTCATAGTCACCTAGGAGACAGGGATTCTTGGCAAACCTGGAAATTCTTTTTTGAAATGGAGGTGCCTGGGAAGTAGCACAACGGGAACAGCTTGGTTTACAGGTCAGTCACATCCTAGCAGTGTGGCCTTGAGCATCACTTACCTTCACTGAGGTTTCTGAATTCCTTCCTAGCAGAGGATTGAGGGTCATAGGTGCCTGATGTGTCATTGGCTTTGCTTCACTCACTTCTGTTGTCCCCATCATCACGGTGTTTGCTGCCTCCGCTTATTTTCCCCGGAATTGGAGTGAAGAGCCCCTGTTGTGGTTGTGGAATGAGGTGGGTTAATATATTTAAGATTTGGTACAGATATCTTGACACAAGCATGGTCTTTGTTAGGGTTACTGTACTGCGATGAAACATCATGACCGGGCTAGAGAGATGGCTCAGCAGTTAAGAGCACCGACTGCTCTTCCAGAGGTCCTGAGTTCAATTCCCTGCAACCACATGGTGGCTCATAACCATCTCTAATGGGATCTGATGCCCTCTCCTGGTGTGTCTGAAGAGAGCAATGGTGTACTTATATACATAAAATAAATACATAAATATTAGAAAAATTTAAAAAAAAAGAAAAAAAAAAAAGAAACATCATGACCAAAAGCAACTTGGGGAGGAAAGGGTTATTTGGCTTTCACTTCCATGTCACTGTTCATCGTTGAAGGAAGTCAGGGCAGGAACTTGCACAGGGCAGGAACCTAGAGGCAGGAGCTGATGCAGAGGCCATGCATGGATGCTGCTTATGGTGACGTGCTCAGCCTGCTTTATTTCTTAGAATCACCAGCCCAGGGATAGCATCAACCACAATGGACTGGGCACTCCCCCATTAATTACTAATTAAGAATTAAATAATCAATTACAGCTGGATATTATGGAGGCATTTTCTTGATTGAGGTTCCCTCCTCTCAGGTGACTTTAGCATGTGTCAAGTTGACATAAAATCAGCCCAGATGACTTTACATATCAGCAGTGTGGGTGATCATGGCTATTCCCTGATCTATTGCTACCTTTGTCTTATGGGGAAATGGGTAGAGTTGAGTTGTTTGTTGAAGCTTCTTCACCTTTGAAGAAAATACTTTGCATTCTGCAGTTTCTAGACCCTCTCTTTGTCCTTGGGTGGCGGCCACACTGAAGCACCGAAGCAGGGGAATATAAAAACAAACGAGTTAAAGTGATACAGCAATGCACTGAGTCTAGTGTTGCCCCATGGCAGCTGGAAGTGTAGCTGCTATTTGTTTTACGTTTACTTAGTGTAACATACACCGGGGCATCAGATTACTCTGAGCTCTGGACTGGTTCCTGTTCTCCTAGACACGGTGGATACTGTGGGAGGGTGGGCACTGCAGTTGGGAACACTGGGGCAGGACTCAGGTGAATTAGGTTTATTGTCAGTTCTCTTAATAACTGTGTGACCTTGTATAGCTTTAATGGGGAAAAATGGCTCGAGTAAGATCAAATAGCTAAGGCACCTGGCTTCCTGAGATTACTTAAGTAGTAGCTTTCTCTGGTTTGAACAGAACATATTTTGTTTCTTAATGCTCTTGTGAGCTTTTGACCCTGTACTGTATATTTCTTCAGTTAAACCCATTGCTCAGTAACTTAGAGCAGAATTTCTGCACCACACACTATTAATGTTTGAGATGTGTACTCCTGGGGGCAGCTGTCCAGTGTATTGCAACATTCCTAACCTCTGCCCACTAGACACTGGCACCATCCCGCAACTAAGACCAAAGTGTCTCTAGACATTGCCACATGTTCTGGGATGGAGATGGATGAAGCCTTTCTGATGTACAAGGCTAACTGGTGACAACTTTGATACTGAATAGCTTCCTCAAAGGTCATTCACTAGTGTAATTTGAGCAGAATCCTCATCTTACATGGAAGAGAGCTAGCTGTGTTAAGGGATCCTCTGGGTCCAGTGTGATAGGACTCAGTGGCTGAGGAATTCAGCAGCATGCTTGTGATGTGACTGTTTTCCTCAGGCTGTGGGGTTGGTTTCCATGAAGCCAAAGTTTTAATCTGCTAATCCACATGGGTCTAGGAAGTAATAATTAGCTTTTCTTGCTAATTATTATGGGGGTAGACACAGTCCTTGGGGATGTGCCTTGCCTGTGCTTAAATGTCTAGAATGATGGATTTTTTTGGTCTGCTTCCTGACCTGGCAGAGAGCCCTTTGGGGCCACTGTATATGTCTGGCTAGCCCTGCTTTTACTTGTAATTCAAAGACAGAGTGCAAAGACCATGGTGGTTTGAGAATGGGGCTGGGAGCCTCACTAGCTCTGTCATTTTGTGCTGTGTGACCTTGAGAAAGTCATTTAACCTCTGGAGCCTCTGGCGTGTACTTGGGTGACCTGGGACTAATTGCTATTCTAGTAAGGAGCTAAAATGAGAGGGACAGAGCCATAATTCAGTGTTAGAGCATTTGCCTAGTGAGCTCCTGGTTTCCATCCCTGGCACTGCAAAACAAATATAAAAACCACTCAAGCGAAGAGCTAATAATGCTAGGGTTAAGTGAGGAAATAGAAGTAACAACTCTCAAGGCAGAGTGAGCTCGATACATAAGCTGGTTTTGGCTTGCTTTTCTCCTTTTGTTGAGGTTTCATATGAGATTTCAGTGTTATTTTTAAAAATTTTCTGTGCAAAGATGTTTGCAACCACAGTTTAAAAGTGAATCTTCAGATAGATATTTTGATATGCTATGAATGTGCCTAACCACATTTAGTTTCTGTTCAGATTTGTTTGGGATTTGACTCATTGGCCGGTGATCGTAGAGAATGATAAATAGGAAATTTGTGGACAGGAGGCTGCTTATGAAGAGGAGGTGAATTCGTTTACCAGGATGTGGGCGCACATTTGTGTGCCTTGTGCTGTTCTTTGTTTTGCGTGGCTGCCTTTTTCAGGCTGCACAGTAATAGAGGTAGCGTGAGGTGGGACTCTGGGCTGCCTGTTTATCCTTTGGGCTGCTTTCCTTCTAGCTGCTTTCCTGGACTTTATGAGTTGCAAAGCAGAAGTCTGTTCCTAGTCTCTTGCTGCTGGAGTTTTGGACATGAATTAGGACCATCCAGTTCTCCCACTGTGGGAGGTTTGAGGCAGAAATGAGATGCGAGCCATTTTTCTTCTCTTTGCTGCTCTCTGGTACCTACTGATATTAGAGAGGTTGGAGGCTTTCCTGTAGTGTTGACAATGTCTGTTTTCAGCTTCCTGGATGCTGAGAGCAGTTGCCTTGCCGTGCAGGAGAGCCCCGTGCTCCCTTCCAAAGGCAGTGATGTGATTGCCTGCTGGGTTCTTGAGTTCAGCAAGTCCAGTAACAGCTTCTGTTTGCCCCTCAGGTCTTTCAGTTTCATGTTGCTCAGTGACCTATTCCTAGGAGTCAGGGGATTGTTTAGAATCAACTTCTTCCCATGATCTTGAAATCGTCTTATTCCTTGTGTTAAATCCATTTCTGCTTTAAATACCTAGAATGATTTTCGTGTCTTGCACTGAGAACTTACTGACTCAGGAACATGCTGGTAGTGCTG